TCTCAACAAGCACTAGGGAATTGGGCAAGGCTCTTCCTGCTCTAAGGTCCAGAGATTGACCTCTCCTTGTTTCTTTCTGATCCTTTTCCACTCTTAAAACTATTTTTCCCAATAGACTTAAGTATTTGCAAATAAAAGTCCCAATGTAGAGCTTTGGGTGTTTCCCCGTTTTTGTTTTGTTTGAGTTGGAGCCCCACTCTGTCATCTCGGCTGGAGTATAGGGGCACAATCATGGCTCACTACAGTCTTGACCTCCTGGGTTCAGGCGATCCTTCTGTAATTCTTCTGCCTCAGCCTCCTGAGTAGCTGGGACTACAGGCTAGTTTTTGTTTTTTTAAAAAATATTTGTAGAGATGAGGTCTCACTGTGCTGCTTGGGCTCATCTTAACTCCTGATCTCAAGCAATCCTCTCACGTTGGCCTCCCAAAATGCCAGGATTACAGGAGTGAACCACCATGCCCAGTCACCCCATTTTGAGTGTAACCATTATATCTCCTTTGATGCAAAGAAGCACAGTGCTCTGATTTAAAAGGAAAAAACAGGCAGAAATCATAAATCAGTATTACCAAGACAGCTTGGCCCCACAGTTTACACATAAACTCTCATCGCAAACTAAGAAGTTGATGTTTAACATATGTCTCTGCTGATGGGTGTGAGCTCTACCTGTTTGACACTGTTGGAGATTCTTCCGTTCTCACCTTGCCAGGTGAAAATCTTGCCAGATTTTCACTCCATGAGTAACACCCCCCTTCACTCTCAGCAAAAGATCAACTGAGTCTTTTCAGTAAAGAGGGCACCCATCAGCCCCATTCCCACCTCTGCTGTCGTCCACCTTCTTTTCTCCATTTCTGTTAGGAAAGAACGGTCTTCCTTCCCCTACCAATGCTGAGCACATGTTGTGCTTGTGGCCTCATCCCTTCCTCTGGCATTGTCTGTCACTAATCATCTTATCATCTTACCTCTCTGCACGTCAACCGCTATTCCCATGTGGACTCCTTCTCTCTCTTTGATTCAAACATTGTCAAATTCTCCATTCTAAAACATATTAAAAACACTCCTTAAACAATGGCTCTCTCCCTCTTCCCCCAGATTTGAGAGACTGGTTTACCCCTGCAGCCTCTATTTTCCTGTTTTCCTGGCCAACTCGCCATGCTAGTGAGACTGTTGCGTCTGCCGGCTGTATACTGGTTCTCCTGCTCTTGGTGGTACTTGTTAGAGTCAGTTCAGATGAGACTCCCTTCTCCCTCAGCTACGACGCTGCTGCCCTGTCTTCCTCTGGCGTCTCCCATCTTGATTACACTGAACCAGGAGAGTCAGTTGAAACATCGTCGCAATAACCTAGTGGGGTTAACAAACTTAACGCCCATTGACTGCCTGTATAAATTACGTTTTACTGGAACACCCGCTCATTTGCATCTTGTCTAGAGTTGCTTTTGTGCTTTGCAGCAGAGCTGGGAGTTGTGACAGGAACTGTCTAGTTTGCAAAGCCCGAAATACTTAATAGCTGACTTTTTATAGAAAAAGTGTGCTGAGCTCTTTCTCGATGACCTAGACAATCCAGATCTAGATGGAAGATGGTGGTGTGCTTGCAGGAACCACGAGGAGATGACTTTGAGATACACAGAGGCGGCAGAAATGATGGAAGTTAGTGACAAATGAGGAGGGGTGCTGTAAGGAAGCAGAAATCTGAGGATGAAGCCAGAAGTTTCCAGCTGTGATGAGTTAACTAAGGGAGGTGACACAGACCCAGGAAGTGTGGGTGAGGAGGTGACACTGAAAGGGAGAATGCGATGATTTTACTTAGAGCTATTTTTACATTGAAGGCACTTATTGCACATAAATAAAGATAATACTATAACCTCAGTGCCCAGGAGTGAGATGTAGGTTAAGCAGAAACATTGGGGAATACCTCTGTGCTAAGAAAATAAAATATGGAGCTGCAAGACAAGAGTTTGCAGTGTAAAAGTTCCTACACACCCATTTCCCCTTTCTGCAGATTCAGTTCAGGGTCCAGATCTCACCCCCCATTTCTTCCTCATCACACTTCACACTTCCCTGGCACAGGGAGGAACCCTGTGCCAGGCCAGCCCATGTAGGCATGAGTAACAGTGCTCCTGGCTGGGAGTTCAACATTCATGAACCAACAGCATATAGTCAATAAAGTGTCATTAAACAGAGACACACATAAAACTAGCTTATGGATTAATCAGTTGTCAAAAACGTTGTGAAAAGAGCCTTGCAGGAACCTAACCCTGAATTTCCCCTAGAAGCGATGTTTAGTCACCAAAATGTGTGGGAACTTACAGAACACAACTACCACAGACAACGGTATCAACTGTACCTTAGTCCACAACCAGATTGGAAGCTTCCTGAAGAGTCCCTCATTCGTCTTCTATGCAACAGGCAGCACGCTACCATTTGCTGACATTTTCTGAAAGCATCCCTTATTACCAGAAAACAGGCCCACCTGTTTTTATTAGATCCCACAGACCATATCTAATAAGCACATCTACACTGGGAAGGGACTTCAGAGACAGCAGGTTGGAGGCTGGAACTCCCAGGAAGCTTTCAAGAATGTTACATTTAGAAATGCTTTAAGACAAATGACAATTACACATGTAAAAAATGATTTTTTAACTTTTAGCCAGAAGAATCATTAAGTTGATATAATTCTTTTTTTTCCCTTTACTAGAATATTCATAATGTCTGTCTCTATACCTTAAGCAACATGATTATTCAATAAAAGTAAAGATGACAGAGCAGTTGTAATTTGTGTAAAATTTATAATTGTTGTTCTTTAAAATAATTTTATAAAATTATAAACTGATAATAATTTTTGCCAAATTTAAAGTCAGATAATGTCAATACTATTTGAAAAGTACAAATCTTTACACAACAATGAATAAGGACAAGTTTCAAAGTCATATATTAAACCGAAAATTAAAAATAAACAGAAGAATTGTAAACAGTTATAAAATGCCAACATTTTGAAATGCTGCCTAATGCAAGCCTTTTCAAAGTAAGGCCCATGAACTACCTGTGTCTGGGCCAAGATGAAAGAAAGTGCTGGGACCAGAAGGAGCACCAACTATGTCACTAATCACGCTGGTTCAGCTGACTTTCCTGACAAGACCTTCTTGATAAAAGAAGCAACATGTTGATCTATACTCTGGCACAAGCACCCTGTCCCATTCCAAATTAGGCACAGTCACTGCTTGCTTCTTTTAAAGTGCCATTACAAGTTCACTGCTCAGAGCTAGGTTACCTTTATTGGAGAGAAAATAATTACAATTGTAATTGCCATCTATATATTGTCTATTTTTAAATCCCACCTATCCAAGGATCCTTTCCAAAAAGCAAATTGAACTTTAAAATCAATTTAACATTTTTCTTTGGATTTGTTCAAGTGCCACTGACATCTGCTTACTCAGAGGGGCTCTCTAGACTCCTATGTTTGTGAGACACATCATGTGCTTTTGATGGAGTTTTATAATCTTAGGGAAAAAAATAAGAATTGAATCATTTATAAATTATTATCTTGAAAGACTAGCTTATTTTCAAATTTCAATAAGTAAAAATATTTAAATTCACCTTTGTAAAAAGACTGAATTTCTATATTCTTTGTGCAACTGCTAGTTACTTTTTTTTTTTTTAACAGTAAAACTTAATGTTAGGAAAAAAGGTATGGACATTTACAACTCCATGCATTTTATTAACTGAGGGGAAACATGTAAACTAGTTTAAGATTTTTCAGAGAAAGAGAAAGTTCGTATAAAATGTCTCTTAAGAATTAGCTTATAATTCAAACATTTCTTGATTTTTAGGTTTGGTATGGCACAATTCCTCCAAATATTAAAACATACATTATGGTCTTTTGGAAACATAACCATTTCCTCATTTTCCAATTAACAACTAAGTTTTGTCTGCATTATCTTAATACTGGAGGCAAGTAAACAATCAACAATTTAGAAACAACTTGCCAGTTTTAGACATACAAGAGCTCAATTTAGTTTCTATGATGTCTAGTTTACTGGACCAACAAACTACTTCTTAAAGAACTTAAATGCATATTAATATGTCATCAGAAGAGGGTTCCTTTGGCACCTGAATTGAGCAGAGTATATACTATAGCAAAGAATCTCTAAGAGAAAGTTGTCTGGAGACCATATTTTTTCTACTATTCACAGAAACACACACCTGTATGTATACACATGTATGTACACACACATCCAAGTAGGAATAACTTTTCCTCAAAAAATGCTGATGATGTTAAAGGAATTCACCATTTAGTCAAATAAAGTGACCTGGTAGTGATTCAAAACTGTTTTAAGTTATTACTAAGGAATTTGGAGTCTTGACAAAATTTTGGAGTTAAAGGTTCTAGTTAAAGGGGAACACCTGTAACTTCTTAGAACTCTGAATGACTGGTTGTACTCTAAGATTTGGAAGATGTCTAAAATTAAGTAAGGAATCTGAGTCTGTCAACACTTTCTTCTATACTCAATTAGTAAATATGTCTGATAACAATACAGTACATTTAATTTTACCCAAATATCTCCTACTTTGGAAGTTCTGGAGGATGAAGCCCCTACCTCATGCATATCAGCTGTTCTCCACCTTCCAGAACGTACTAGATCTGAAGATGCTGAAAGTGGCAAAGACACTTGAATGAAAAATGAAGCCAGGCTGCCCTGGTCAGGTTTCTAACTCCCTCTTCACTCTGGTTAAAGCAATCTCTACTATACCAGACCATAAACAATGAAAATCTTAATGCAGTTTAAAAATATTTGTGATTGAAAACCATTTCCAATTTCAAAATATCTCTTGAGCATTTATAAAGTAGGATATATTTTGGCTTAAACTTGATACTATTTTCCTAAACAAATTATGTCATGGCGGTCCAGTATAGAACTCATCTTAGAGACGGAACCTAATTATTCCAATGTCTTCACTTTGTTTAGTTTACACCAATTGTAGTATAACCCAAATCACTCTTTTTCTGACATGCAAAACATTTTGATAAGTTCATTTGAACTTGAATTTTTCATTAACATGTAAACTCACATGTACAATTACATTTTTTGCTATATATTTAAATATTTTCTTCTCTGCAGTTATCTCAAGATAGGAAATTATATTATGCTAGCAACTAGTAATTTAGCAATAAAACATTTCCCTAAATTCTTCTATGCAAAAGTGCATTTACAATATAAACATGTCATATGTGAAGCTACACACCACAATCTCACAATGGAGTGAATAAAAAATCTAAAATTCATTTCACGTGAGTCAAAGAAAAAGTGCTAACAGAGCAAATCTGAAACGAGTTCATGGGGGTTGGGCAAGGAGTCATCGAAGCGACATCTCTTGGAAACCAGGCTGCCATCCTCTGGGATGTTTTCCTTGTCTTCTCGATCGCCACAGGCTCCATGACAAGAGGACTTAGAAGTCTTGTCTTCAGAGGACCTTCCTATATGGTCCTGAATTGGAGAGGAATTGGAGGTCTCTTCAGGGTGAAACAAGTCTCCAAAGTCCCACTGCTGCAGCCAAGAGTGAGAAAGGCAGGTCTCGGCAGTTGGTCTCTTCCTTTGAAAGAGAACACCAAGGGAAAACTGAGAACCAACTGAAATGTCTTCAGTGTGATAGATCGTGGATGTTTTTAAGTTTACGATGAAAATAACACATACTCAGAGTGAAACATCCACACAATACAGAAAAGAGGAATCCTAATACCAGCAGCAAACATCTGCCAAGTGCTTCATCATGTGCCAGGGGCTACTCTGTACTCTTCAATGGAACTATCTAATAACTGCAAGAACCCCTGGGGCTGGGTACTGGTCTCCTCATTTCACAGATACAGGACACTGGGAGCTTGGGACTTGCCCTCAAGTCTCCTACCTTGCCAATGGTGCAGTCAAGTAGAACCCTGGCTCTATAGTCTGTTTTTAAACATGATACCATATTGTCTCCCGCGAAGGTAAAGCGTAGCATTATTTTCTCTGTTTTCTCATTCCCCAGTCTCACCTCCAAATATTTTCACTACATGTGTGTGTATACATGCACACACGACTTCACACACAGCTTCACACACAAGGCTTCCCACACACACAAACACAAATAGTTTCACATGCACATCTGTCTTGCAGCCTGTTCTCCTCACTTCCTTTCCACACTCAACACACCTCAAGGTCTCCCACATTAGTATAGAGCTAATATCTTTATTAACGGCTGTGTTACTTCGTACTCTCCATATGGATATCACATGGATATGCCATCATTTATTTAACCAGATCCCCACTGATGTGTCCAGCATTTTAGTGTTATAAATAATGCTGCAGTGAATATCAAGAAAATGTTTTTTGGAGACTTCTCTGAGTATGTCCAAAGAATAAGTTAGCCAGTACAGTTGCTGAGTCTTTATATTTTGAAAGCTGGTGCTTAACCGTTTTCTAAAGGACTTCTAATACTCAATCTTACAAATATCTTCTCTAAGATTATGGGGAAAAAAATCCAAGTTTTCTTTTAGTATTTTCATGGTTTTACTTTTTAAGTGTAAATCTTTATTCCATCATAAATTTATATTTGTATGAGGAGAGCAGTAAGAATAGCTTCATTTTTCTAATAAACCTTGTCTTAGAGCTACAACTTACATGGAAAAATGTTTAGTGGCCATAAAAACACAGTTTTTTTAGTCAGAAATCTTGATTCTAGTCTGCTATTGATTAGAAGACAATGGAACTGCACTTAATTTTGAGATTTCCTTTAATGCAGAAAGACTTACTTTCTAGGTAAATGACAATTTTTTTTCCCTTGAGAAACAAAACTGATCAGTTCAAGTGAAAGATTTTCTATAAATACAGCTACTAAGCAATGATATAATATTGCTTGCTTCAACTATACTTGGAGATATAGAATAGGAAGTAAAAAAAAAATCAAGGAAACTTTAGCCTTTGCATTTCTTGATCATGTCCATGTCTGATACCTGCTCAGGTGTGAATTCATTTTATACATAAAAGTGCTTCCTATTTATGGTTGTGAAAGACAGAAAACTGAGAACCTAAAGCTTCTTCAGTTCTGACACATGCTGGAATTTCAATTTATCATTGAGCTTAATGATGAGAGCCTAGTGAAAAAGGGTGAGAACAATGCTAGCCTGACAAACAAAAATTAGCAAAATTATAAAATCTTTTGGGTTTGCAAACCCTTCAGAGAAAAGTAATCTAGGAAATTTACATTCTCTATTATTCTTTTTTGTTCTTAAAAGCAATAACTGCAAAATCTTGAAAATAAAGGCTGTCTTCAATGATGTGTATCCAACACTTTGAATTTTTTTTTTTTTTTTGAGTTGAAGTCTCACTCTGTTGCCCAGGCTGGAGTGCAGTGGCATGCTTAGTCACTGCAGCCTCAACCTGCTGGGCTCAGGTGATCCTTCTGTCTCAGCCTTCCAAGTAGTTGGAACTACAGGCACACGCCACCACATCCAGCTAATTTTTTTATTTTTATTTTTTATTTATTGTAGAGATGAGGTCTCACCAAGTTGCCCAGGCTGGTCTCAAACCCATGGACTCAGGCAATCCTCTCACCTTGGCCTCCCAAAGTGCTGGAATTATAGGTGGGAGCCACCGTGCCTGGCCACACTTTGAATTTTTAAATTTTGTTTTCTATTATGAAAGCAATATGAATGAAATCACCATTTTACAAAAAGAGGAGAAATGCTCATCTATACTCACAACTCCAACTTCAACATAACCACAATTGCCATTTGGTACATGTTTCCTTAGTCTTTTGTTTTTATGTTCAGTTTTTTTCTAAACATTATTTAAAAAGTTAATGTGGTTATCACAGAACTTTTTAAACTGAGGTAAGATAAATTTTTAAGAAAATAATTGCTTATAATCAGAAACAACTACAGAATTGTTACTAGTTCTACTACATAACCATTCACATGTCCTAATTACAGTCAGGGAGAGTTTGTTTGGAATTACGTTAAGTCAATAACATAATTAAGAAACTTATGAGTTTGGTGCTTTTTTTTTTTTTAAACATAAAACTGAGTTTTTCAGGAGATTAAGTAATTGTCAGAGGTAAAAGACCAGAAAAGTAAGAAAATCAGGATCCCAGCCCAAGGCACTGCATACACCAGCTTCTGTATTATGTGTAGCAGGTGTAGCCAGGCCATTTTAAAAGACGTGGGACTGAGCCTGGAAATGAATAGGTAGGCTTTTCCTTCTCTCGCCTTGAAGCTGCCAATGAACGGGTCAGAGCCCCACGCCTTGGTCTCAGTTCTCTTCTTTCATAGCCGTCAAAGGGTACCCAGTCCTTCCAGAGCTGACAATCAGCAAGGAGTACGTGTCACCTATGTAATAACTATTTTATCAGGAATCATTCACAACAAAGTTTGTCCTAACTATCGTGTGTACTGAAATGTGTATGTCTAAGTATTTTAGAGAATTTCAGGGACTAGTAGCAGGTAAGGAAGAAATAACCCAAATCTTTTCTTCATTCCAAAATTCTGTTTTATATTTCATATTTGAAATTATGTATGTGTTAATAATCTTTCATACCTCCCCTCTCCATTTTACCTGAAACTTGAGCACATACCTAATGAATTTATACTATTTCAGAATAAACCTATCTGAACAGACATATATTATTTATTTGGTAATAGTATTTAAACAAAGTAATGGTATTACTTACTCTGGATTTTTTACTAAAAGGCTCTGAATAAAGTCTGTGGCCAGCTGTGAAACTGATGAAAAAGTTTCTTCTGAATAATCTACATTAACTTGAGAAATATTGAGGTATGTTTCTTGGTTATCTTCTCCCACAAAAGGTGATGTGTGAGTTAACAACATATATGTGATTATACCAATATTCCTGAAAAACAAGTGAGGGAGAAGAGGGGATCTTAACGTGTGTTAATTTTAAAACATTTACATAAAGTACAACCTCCAGTGTCCTCAAGACTGGCATAGTTAAACCACAGACCTAAATGACTTTTCGAACTTCCTATAATGTATTATTAAATCCCAAATAATTGTTATCTCAAAGTCTGCCTGACAGAAGGAGTACGCAAGGGCATGTGTGTGTGTGCTCATAACATAAACATGATACATTAAACACTTTGTGTCCACACTCCACCTTCAAAGGCACCTGTGGTCGGGGATATAGCTGCCATGGCCTCTCCCAAATGTGTCCAGGGTCTGGTCATGATCCGTGAGGTGGGGAAGGAATTCTGTGCAAACAGAGGCTGCAAGTTCAGTAAGGCACAGAGTTGGGCAGGCAAATTTTTTCACTGCCAAACTTTTCAAATCCATAAATATGTTAATGACAAGTCTGGTGCCCAGGAGCCAGAAAAAGACAACATAGTACATGTATCAAGAAGTTATTCAGGTTGGGCATGGTGGCTCATGCCTGTAATCCCAGCATGAGTATCTGATGCAGGAGGATCACCAGGAGTTCGAGACCAGCCTAGGTAACAAAGCAAGACCCCATCTCTAAAAAACTTATCTGGGCAGGGAGGTGCACACCTGTAGTCCCAACTACTCGGGAGACTGAGGTGGGAAGACTGTCTGAGCCCAGGAGGTTGAGGCTGTGGTGAGCCATGATTGTGCCACTGCACTCCAGCCTGGATGACAGAGTGAGACCCCGACTCAAAACAAAAACAAAAAACGTTTCTAGCTACAGGATCTTTTTTTCTGGACAAACCTATGAGTGGCTTCAGAAAACAGGTCTAAACTCTTCCACCTGCTTTATGGGGTTAGTCCTCGTGGTGGTCCCAGCTGGAGTTCCAGTACCAGTTCTGGTTCTAGCCCCTGTTATATTCCCTCCGTGCTAGTCACAACATCTCACAGCTCCCTAGAGGCGTGCTCTCATAAAACCAAACTTCTGGGTGAACCAGACCCCATTATTGTGCTTAGTCCTAGATCTGCAGGCTCCCATCATGAGGTAGAACTGGCCAGGTACCCCGCAGCTGCACCCTGGCACTAAGCACCCCTCCCTCACTACACAACACATGACACTGGGCACATTTATTCTGTTCTTCTACTCAACCAAGTTTTCATCATGAAAGGGATTTTCCTATTTATTTCTGTACCTTTGACTCAGACTCAAAGTATTATTTAAAAATAATGGCCAGTAAATTTTTTCCTGTTGAATAATAATGATACTCAAATAAAATATTTTTAAGGCAAGTCTTGTTTTGTACACTTAGCATCAAAGAACCCCAGAATATACATGACCCAACTTTCCATAAAGGCATTTAGGTAACTAACAAAACCTTACCACATATCTGTTGCTGTGGTGATGGGGTCATAGTTCAGAATTTCCGGAGCTAAAAGAGAACAAAATTCAAATTCAATAGAGACAAATCATAAAGCATGAAAATTACTTTATATTAAACTACAATTGGAAAGCCTAGCGATACAAGATCACAGAAGTTTTGCATAATATTAATTGTCCTATGACTGGATATTTAAACATCTCTAGTATTGAGCAGATTATATGATCAGATGATTTTAAAAACTGATAATATTCTCGGAGTAACTGATAGCTATGTAGTTTTAAAAAACTCATTAAGATTGATCTCAGAAAAAAAGTATAAAGAAGTAAAATGTTGGAAGCTAGAATCTTTTTAAGATTTTAGTTGTATTATTTTGATAGGAATAATTTACATTGTTTTACCATACTGATTTAAGTTTTTCTCTTGGGGTAAATAGGATTTCAAGCTACCTACCACCTTTTCACATATTCTGTGAGCTATGTTAACAATCCCAAGCATCTACCCAAGGGCGATGGCCCCTATTAGCACTCAAAAGTTACTGATTTGCTTTGTTTTTCATTTTCGGGAAAGACAGCCCTCATCGAGTGGCACCTGTTCTGTCCGGCTGCACATTTGCAGTGCCGGCATGGGAACATCAACACGACCAACACGACCAACAACCAAAAAAGATAAAAAGACTGTTACTATAAACTGAAATGCTTTACATTTATATGCTGCTCCACACCGCTTCAAACCTTCCTATGCATGCTTCCTTCATTGATTTCACACAATACGCTACGACAACCTAACTGCGAGTTTCTTCTGGCACCTTCCTCACAACCTTCCCTCCACGACCTCTGCGAAACCTCCTCTCTAAAAGCAGCACGATGAGGAGGAGGTGTTGTCGTGCTGACAAGTCCTATAAAGTTCTAGATTCTCAGTGTGGCAAGCAGCTCTGGAGCGGGGACCAGAGGCACCGCGTGAGACCCACCCGGCAGCTGGCTGTGGAGGCCATCAAGGTTCCTGATTCCTCCATTTACTTCTTTTTGCATCTTTCTCTGGCTCTCTCACTTCCCCCACACCAACTTCTTTTTCTTCATGTATAAAGCCTTCATATATAAACATCAAACTCTGGTGCTTACACAGTCAATGTCCTACAAACTGCTGCAAATGTTTCAGATTCTTACATTTCACTACAGTTCATTTAAATGTGTCATAGCCAGGTTTTAATGTATTAAAATACTTGAACCAATCAGATCCATGTATGCTCTAAAATTGTTTCATAGAGGTACCATTTACTTATGACATTTCAAAATGGTATAGAAAAGAACAGAAAATTCTTACCTAAATATTCTGGTGTTCCCATGATTTCCCGAAGTTCACACGCGTTCCCTATTTTTCGAGACATTCCAAAATCTACAATTTTTATGTCCCCAAGAGGATATACACTGCTCAGTAATATATTCTGTGGCTAAATAAAACACACACAAAAAGGATAAGTTAATGTACAATAAAAGAATACCAGCCTCAGATGGGAGGTATATTAGTGAAATGTACTGCTTAGTTATTATACATTTCACTGAGTCATTCATCAAACATTTACTGGTTTACTCTTTAAGAGGAACTATCATTCAATGATGCGCAAAGCCAAAACCACACTCCAAAAGGATTCTCGGTTTGAGGAAAAAAGAAGTTACAAGAATAGATTGATAGCTTATGAAATATAGAATATATACGGAATATATTCTACATGAAATATAGAACATATATAGAAATATAGACTATTCAGTAATAAAGACCAGACTATATAATTCTGCCCTTAAGAAATCCCAAAAAGGTTTTGCAGTAAAGAGGATGCTTAGGCTGAATCTTAAAAGATAAGCAGGGGTATGCCAGGTAGAAAAGTATTCTAGGCATCCAAGCATGTAGTCCCAGCTACTCAAGAGGTCGAGGCAGGAGGATCGCTTGAACCCAAAAGTTGGATACCAGCCTGGGTAACATAGTGAGACTCCAACCTAAAAAAAAAAAAAAGGTGCTCTTGGGGACAGCACAAAAGAAGGCATGAAAGAACAAACATTTCCACAAACAGGAAATGGTTCGGTACAGTGTGATGACTTGGAGAGTGGGATCTGACAGCTTCCAGTGTGTTCTTAGACAGCGTAATGCCCGGCACACCTCATCCACTGTCTTCTAGAACCTCAAGACCTGCTATGGCCTATTACAAAGTTCCCTGCAGCTGTCTCCGTCCACAAGCCCGCTAAGGCGCCGCACCCAAGGTCTGCATGAAGAACTATGACAGTTCCTTAACTCTGGGCAAAGCTCACGTGTGTTTACAAGGCAGCAACCAATGTGGAAGGAAAGGTCAGGGCAATGAGCTCTGCTGTCAACCACAGGCTTGACAGTCACAAAGGTGCCCATGCCCCCAACTTCAGGTGCCATGCATCGCTCTGTGGTGGTGATGCTCGTGGCTTGTCTTCAGCAGGAAGAAACCCAGCATGGAGCTGTGGGGGATGAGGACCTTGGCACTTACAATGATGCTTCTTGTCCAGTCTCTCTCCAGAGGGCCCATGGTGGGAGGGTAGACGGCACGTGGAAAAACTACCCCCTCACCCAGGGGCACACAGAATCATGGATTTTGTGTTCTTTTGAGAAACAGGTAAGAGGATTTGGAACTCTGGAGCAAGGCCTGGGCTACAGGTGAAGGCTCTGGAGTGACTATGATTCTAGGAGTGGCAGTGCATGCCAAATGAGGGGAGGAGTAAGGAAGTGGGGAGGAGAGGGAAAGAGGTGAGAAGGAGAGAGGGAAGGAGGG